AGCTTAATAGAAATTATGTTTATTATTAATAATAGTGTTCTAGGTTTGAATTACCCAAATTACCACTTATATTAACATACGCAAACTAAAAGATGAGAGTAAGATAAGCATTATTTTTTCAAATTTCAGGGATGTCCCCATTATCAATTATAATTTTTTGTCCATAAGTAAATTACCACTGAGAATTGGAAAATCGTTTTCTCAAAATTTAGGGGCAGCTCCTATTGTCGATCTAATACTCCCTATGGATGTCAATTACCTGCCCATGGGTAATTATACCCAAACCCAAGTAGACCCATTGATAATGGGTTGGGTATGGGTGAAGTGCATATGGGTTTGGGGGGTTTGTAGATGGTTTTGGGTAAAGTATGAATATTACTTCCATCTATATGGATATCCATTTACTTGAGGGTGTTTTAACTACACATGCAAAAATTTGACCTATTTGTAAAACTTGAAAATTTTACGTACCAAAATGTAAGACCAAAAAAATTTAGGTACCAAAACGTAATTTTCCATCGATATTTTGAGGACTTATATGCAAAAAAAAATTAGGTACTAAATATGAATATCTATTAAGTTTAGGTACCAAATTGTAATTTGTATTTGGGCATGGGTACAAACCCAAATCCATTTGTTATAAAGCCAACCTAACCCAAAGTAAATGAGTATGGGTACAAATCCATAAAACTCTACTTATATACATCTATTTGGATTTCATACCCAACCCAATTAGGCTGGATAGTAAAAAACACATGGGTATGAGCAAAATTGCAATCCCTAATACTCCCTACCTGTTTCGCCTTTCACTTTGCCGCATTGTTCTTTGTTGAGCTCGGGTATCCATACTGCAACTGCAAAAGAGCTCCAGGGACGTACGTCGTACGGAGATCCAGGATCGACACAAACTAGCGGATCCTCTTTATTGAATCAATGCTCTCGGTTCATGAGTTGCTTGTAGCTCACAAGCGGGAGAACGACGTTGGTATCGATAAACTTTTAATTTTTTTATTCAATAACCATAAATAATGCCCAACTTACATATATAGACTAGAAAAACCTAATACATAACCCTAGCACTACCCGACCCTCCTAATTAACCTAGCCCACTCTACAACCTAACATAGACTCCCATTAATCCATCTCGGCCTCTAACATAATATACTAATTGGCCAATGTAAGGTGCATGCATTACAAACTACTACGTAACCTAACAATTAACCCATGTACGAAATACGTAAACATACTAACCCAAAAGTCCAAACCGAAAATAATCTCATCATCGTGTCGGCGGATCCGACCCTCGGACTTGTCGCTTGGGCTTCGGTGACGAAGATGTCGTCGCTGAAACCATAATCTGCCACGATGCACTGTGGATGTCTTCGCCGACGCCTCCCCTCGTCGCAACACTTGGCGACGTTTTTTTGGGATTTAGCGACGGGTTTCCATCGCAACTTCGCATCGCAAGAACTGTTGTTTCTTGTGGTGCGAACGGTTGACACAACCATCTACAAATTACTATAAGGGAATGTCAATATATCCTTTTCACCACGTCAGCTCATACTAACCAACCCGCACTAATCGGAGGGACACAATTGTAACTTTATTTTCCAATCTTCTTCCTACCTTCTCGCCGAAATCCCCAACGCCAGTTATTTTCTTTCTCTCCTCGCCTACTGCTTTCTCTCTCTGCTCACCATGTTCTTCGTGTGAGTATATAACCGTCGCCCTTAAATTAATTAACTCCTCCCCTCCCATTCTGTTCCCTTCTCGCAATTCCCTTTCCCATCAACTAATTCAAGCTGTCTGCAGGTTCTCTCAATCCATCCCTCCCTCTCTCTTTTCCATATGCCCCACGTTAAGGTCGGAAATCAATTAGATCAACTTGTCATGCACTTATATGTTGTTGTGATTTGTTCCATGGTGGTTTAGAGCTGGGAGCCTGGAATGGGTTTCAAAACTAATTTGTTTGAATTTTTTATTGATCTATTGCATATATTTAACTAATTTCAAATAAATTCCTCAAGGAGCATTTGCCCTTTTTGGAAGTCCAAAGACGGGTCGTGCCTTGCGAATCTATACGATGAATTATGATCATTGATCATGGCTGTGAAAATTAAGGTACTTCATTCAAATGAGTAACATATAAGTTATTAGATTATTGATATGACTTGAATCGGACTATCAGCCGCTACGAATGGAAGTCACGCGGGGCTCAATGTTATTTGGGTTCGTGTTTTGAGCCTGGTTGTAATCGCTTTTCCTTTACCATAATGGATTAGGGTTAGACCTTGGAGAAGTAGTATAAATACTTCTCATACTCCTCTGTAATTTGTATCTCCTCAAGTATAGTGAAAACTGGCTCTCTCCTGCCCGTTGACTAGCTAACACACATTGCGTTAGTGAACCATGTAAATCATGTATTGTGTATGTGCACTTATGTTTTCTTACATTGTCGAATCCTTCTATTTCCCGATACTCAGAAAACATCAGTAACGCACATAGTATAGTATAGTTTTGAAGACGAAACTTCACGGATGATAATAATTGTTCTTCTCTTCATTGCTCTTAATTGATTGCAATAATGCTGCCGAAACATCATTGATCATTGCCATGACGCTTTTTGTTGCCAAAATCTTTCATTTTATTTCTACTAATAACCGGCTCAATGTTGTGTTGCTATTTGCTAATTATGTCCTTAATATGATGTATTTTTTACATGTATATCTAATGTATCCACCCAAATTGTAGTTTATTTGGGCGTTCCATTGTGATTTACATTAGGGAAAGGGTATATATGCTATATAAATTCATTATAAAGTCCACTTTGTCCATGATTTTCATAGAATCTGACTTATTGAATCCAATTTTACCTACTTTTTATTATATTTGAAATTTGAATCTCCTGTATTGGTTCAAAGGCATTAATCATTCAGTTATTTGTTTTTGTTGAGGAATTTGTTGTATACACAGTGGGTCTGAACTCTGAAGTAATGAGAGCCTCGACTTATAATAGCAAGAACGGAAAATCAATTGGAATTGAAGGAGGTCGCCCACTTGAAAGTTGAAATTAGGTTTAAACTTCTTTAAGTGACTAATAAACGTTATTAACATTGATCGTGCCTCATTGGAATGGTCGGATTTTTTTAATGGTATTAGGGAACTACAATTCTCAAGTGATTTGGTCAAGTTTAATTGAATATTTCATGTAAAATAAGTCGAGTATGGATGAATGAGCCGCATATTGATCCGGATTCCAGTACTTAGGTCATGATTATTTCGTCGGCATGACGAGCAAGAGATGTTTATGATTTCATTTCTTTTAACCAATGGATAGTTATATTTTATCTAACGTTTTAAGCATGGAATAAAGTTTCTTTTTCTAATTTAAGCCTTTGATAAGTAGATCTTATGCAAGTGGATGAATATCATGGTATCATAATATTTAGTCAATGGCTTGCTAAGTAGTGATCCTTGACGTATTTTTGGGTTGGACCGGTCCTTTTTCTATGTATAGGTGTGAATTCAATCAACTACTATGAATTTGGAAATACAACAATTCTATAAGGAGCACTTCTACTATGCTATATAGTATTGGTGCTTTAATGTACAACTTAAAGTTGTACCATAACATTAAATGTATAAGTTTAGGTTGTACCATAAAGCAATTTGTATCATTATGTTATGGTACAACTTTACGACTTGAAATTGTACCATCACATAAAGGTACAAGTTCAAGTTGTACCATAAAAGAATTTGTACAAAAAGTATAGGTACAATCTAAAGTAGTACCATAACGTAAATGTACAATTTTAAGTTGTACCATAAAGGCAAAATCCTATAGCACCAATACTATATAGCATTGTAAAATTTCTCTTCTATAAGTAAGAATGTTGATAAAAGATAATTTATCTCATGTAACCGATATTAGTCTTTATACTCCATATACATATTGAATTTTGGGAATCAAATATATGATATAATGGTCAACGTGACTCTATATAATAATATGTGCGTTGATCTTTAAAAACAAACAAATAGCAATATATCAACCCACTTTTTACCCCATTATGCACCTCTGTGGATCATTATTCATTTGTATGTGTGGGCTGATGACCCTCCTAGCCCTCAATAGCAAATATTGCATACTTAAAACTAATCCAACATATCATATGATAAAATTTGAAATTCAAAGCAAAACCCGGCCAATAGGCCGGGCCCTATGCTAGTGGAATTTTAAGTGTTTGATAAAGTAAAGGGGTATCCGAGATGTAAGAACGTTAAACTAATTCGATGCGCAAAAACATTTTTTTACACAATAGCTAGTAATGGTGGAAATTAACAGAAATGTTTTTTTTTTATACGAACTCACCTCATGTAAAAATAGACACGTTTGCTAAAAATAATGTATAATAGAAGACTAGAAGTCCATATTATACTTATAATCATTTTATTTAGTGGTACTTTGAGTACAATACAACTACAACAAAAATGAAAAATCGCATTCTCGAAAGAAAGAGATCCGATTACGATCCTCAATATTTATGTCATCGTACATCCAATTCCAAATATAACTTTTATTTGATCTCTTGCCGTTCATTTTCCTAGTGGACGTTGAGTTATCCTGCCCATTCGATTCCTACCCTGTAACACGTAAATATCAAATTCATTATTTATAAGAAGGCAAAATACACTTGTATATCCAAAACTTCCACGTTTGTGCCAATAATAGCCAAATTTGAAAAAATATCACTTATAGCCATTTCCGTCCAATTCTTCAACAGTGTCAACTAACTGGATGACTGGACTAATAGCAACGATTGATGTGGCATATTTTATTCAAAAATAATGTATGTGAAAAATCATTAAAGTTTAATCATTTTATTTTAATTAAATTAAATAAAAATTTATAAGAAAATAAAAACAATAATCTCAGTCCTCCGCTTGTTCACCTTCCCCATCTTCGAAATTTCCACCGAATCATGTTCTCTCTGCTTTCCTCTTTTACAACAAAAACATCCCTTCTTTGTTCTTTCTTCTTCCCAGAACAACGAACCCTAAAATACAAACTATACCCCTCAATATACCTGTGCATATATTATGATTGATGGGGTGGCGAGGAGTAATAGATTGAAGAGCAGCTCCAACAATTCGAAACCCCTTCTAAACCCCTCAGATCCAGTAATCCTTCATCTTGTTGGAATTTGGATCCAACGACATCTTCAACTAATTCATCCCCTTCTCTCCGTCTTCTCAATCGGCACTGTCCCGGTCAGAGCAGTTGCTTTACCCATAGATTATTCCTCGCCGACGCCGCTGCAGTGCTTTTGTGAGAGCTCAGAACAGAGACGAACCAAAACGCAGACCACCCTTTCTCTCTTCAAGTCTGCCGCCGCCCACAAATATCAAAATCCCCAGCCAATTTCGCCGCCGCCCGCACACCTGCACCCCTCTCGCTCTCCATCTTCTTCCGCAGGATCGAATACTCAATGGGGCTCGTTGATTCAAGTGATGGAATCAGGAACGGACCTTTAATTTGGTGGTGTAAACTTTATTGTGACGGTCGCAAAGAGGGTGGACGACGACGGTGTGTAGGCAAGATTGGTGGGTGCAGATTCCGAATCGACGGTGTCGTCGCGAGTTTACCGCCGCCTGTAACCGGCATCATCTGGGCCAATCCTGCATCTTCGAATGGCCAACAAGACTCCGGTGGGAGAGGAACCCACTTCTCCAATGTCGCCTTCCGCCACCATTCTCATCTCCTCCTTTCCACTTGCCAGATCGACAGAGGGATATCGATACGCAATCCCATAGTTGAGCCCTTTGCCAAATCCCCAATCGCAAAACCTCAATCGCAAAATCCGCTTCTCATCGGCCACGAGTGTGGTTGCAGATAACCGACGATGCTTGCTGGTGGTGAGTTCCCATTTTTGGTTGTTCTTTCTGAGGAATTTTACAATGCTTTAAAGCATTGATGCTTTAGTTTTTACCTTTATGGTACAACTTGAAGTTGTACCTTTAACGTTATGGTACAACTTTAGATTGTACCTGTACTCTTTTGTAAAGTCCCTTTATGGTACAAACTAAAGTTGTACATTTAAGTTATGGTACAACTTAAAGAGTTGAAATTGTACCACACATAAAGATCAAATTCCCTTATGGTATAACTCTAACTTGTACCTTTATCGTTGTGGTACAACTTAAAGTTGTACTTTAAAGTACCAATACTTTAAAGCATAGTAGAAAGACTCGTTCTATCTGAGTAGTTCTGGAGACCGGCGCAGGGGAAGATAAGGTGGGAGCCTTCAATGTAATCTTATCTTAATCTTAAAAAATATTAAACCGTTTTCTATTTAGCACCCCTGCCACGTACTCCTTCCAGGAATTTTATGTCTTCACGTCAGCGCTATAACTCCCCACCAAATTCGACTAACATGAACTTTTTTCCCTTCCTCTTTCCCCACGATTACCCCCCCTCCCCCCGAAATCTTCCCCATGGTCGGCGCTTTGTTAATCTTACCAACGACACATCCGGGCCCGATAATTTTCGTTCTCTCCCCATCCCGTCGGGGAACCCCCTCTTTCCCACTGCTCGATTACACCTTTGTCTCATAAACATCGTTTCCTTCATTATTAATGGCGACAATTCATTCTTCCCAAATTTGCAATATTGTTCATCCCCGGCCCCCGCTAGTCCCTACAGCGGCAAAACCTGAAACCTTTCTCCGCCTTCGGCACGACATATATCTGCACTTACCCTTTTTTACCAGATGAAGGCGGCAACCATGTGTTACTCCAGAATTCCACATCGACCCGCCTTCCTCAGTCATGTATTGTGTGTGTATATCGCTCGAAGGGATTACCGCACCACTTCGCCTCCTCCACAGCCTGAAGTGGCCTTCAGCAAAGCCACCCAATCACGCCATCAAATTCGGCCAAAATAGTGCCAGACGTAGGTAGAAAATCACACCCTTAAAGCATACCCACTTAAGTTATGTTCATAATTTCGTTGCACTTGAGCCACTACTCCATTTTGTTGCTATTAATTCCTAGCCTTCATTCTGCATATTGATTTACTGGAGTTCCAAACTGATAACCCAAACCTACCGTCTTCTCTTTGTCCCTGCAAATCCAGGTAAGTTTTATCGTCAACGTACGTATCTGTTTTATTATATAGATATTGGAGTTCAATGAAACAGACCATGGTATTTGCGATTCTTATATACTCGCTATGATGCGCTTGCCGAAAAGTTAGATTTATGAACCAATCAACAACGGTCCTCTTCGTTAGTCATCCAATTTTTATTTACCTTCGTTCATCACAATACAATATGCATTCCTTTGTCCACATTTCCTCCTATCTTCTTCTCATAACTGCTGGTATTGTTTAGGTAAAGTCCTAATCTCTGCAGTTAATTAAGGATGCTGTCTTTTGCTATGATGTTTGCCATGTTTTGTTTTACTGATAAACGAATTTTGATTACTTTTGTTTCATGATCGGCAACAAAACATATCTACCACTCAAGACTTACTTATTTGTGGATCATATTACTTCCGATGTGATGAAGGCTACACTATAGCTTCTATCATGTCCTTTGGTCCAAGGTTCTTTTATTTTAGAGGAACATAAACTTTGAGTTGTAAGGATCAATTTAGGTAGGACACCTGCTGCTCTTCTATGGCATATTAATTTAGGTAGGACACCATCTAAGAGATGTCCATGTATGTTCATTTGTAGAGTTATTGTGGGTTTGATGATTCAGGTTCGAATTGATCATTATTAATTGTTGTATGTGTTTAGGATTGTCTATTTAGCTATTTTCGGAGACGTCCTTTTGTTAATTGGAGTTGGTTAAATCTCGCCCTTTTGAGATATTTCAACACAAAAAGGTATCAATGTTTAAACTCATGATCATACCATGAGTTCGCAGTGTAGCATACATCACACTGTTGGTGTTAAATCTCTTCTTGCGTATTTAAACTGCCCTGAGACATTTTTGTTGATGAATTCATGCTTTTTTAAGTTTCGTTACATATAAATATGGAGTTAGAACCTTCTTTTCTCCAACAAACTATGAACCAGGTTTATTATTCTTTTTCGTCTACCAAACAAAATAATATTTTTTTTCCCATCATATAATCTTAAGAACTAGAGTAGCCAAATACAAACAAACAATAAAAAAATCAATAAATTTGTATGCAATCAAAACATCTTAGTTATGCCATACGGCACATTGTGTAATGCCGTGCTCAACTTTCAACTTAAACCGCCCATCGGGCGGGCCCAAAGCTAGTATATATATATGGGGAGTTCTACGGTACCCAGGGTAAAATGCGGGGGACCGCATATCTTGAGTAAGAAAACGCTATCCAGAACTTGAATTGTCGGATCATTCGGACATGATACTATACTCTAACCCGTAAAGATCAAAATCTAGGTATTAATTCTCTAAATATTACACCCCAAGATCAATTTAATTTGAAACAATAATCAACGGTTATGATTCGTCCAAATATAGGCAAAAAAATCAATGCACCATCTTAGGGTTTATAGTTTATGATTTAGAATTTTAGATAATTAGGACCTAGGGTTCACTCATTAAGGGTTAGGGCATAGTATTATGCCCAAAAATCCTGCTAATTCGAGGTCTAGATAGCGTTTTCATACTCAAGGTATGCGGTACCGCGGATTTCACCCGGGGTACCGTATAAGGCACCATATATATATATATATATATATATATATATATATATATATATATATATATATTTCATAGATAGATCGTAAATAGATAGGGTGTTACAATTCTTGAAAATTAAAGGTGATAGTCAACCTAGTGTTGAGCTACCGATGCAAGGGTCGTTTTTGCCACTAAATGGGCAGCCCTGTTTGTATGCCTAGAACCATAAATAAATGAAAAAACGCAAAGGAAGTCGTCATTCGACAAACTTCTTGACGCACCCATCCGCCAAGTAGAGCCTTCATATCTCCTATAAGTCAAGCTTCAATAGGCCAACAATAGAGTTGATGGGCAAGCTACCTGCAAGATGAACACAAACTACCCCTAATGGAACGAAGCAAATTTCAAGTACCAACGGACCTCTACCAAAGATGCTCCACAAACTCTATGAACTAATCCGCACGCTGTGAAGTCGTCGGAGAATGATGGAACGAATCCCTGCAGAGGAGCCTAGTCGGTGATGGTACCAAACAGTCGCACGAAGACGAAAGCGGCGAGATTGGGGAAAACCGACGGAAGAGGGCACCAACCTCCTTATTGTCTAAAAGAGTTTGAAATTATAATTGAAAACAAATAATAATAAAAAAGGGAAAAAAATGGGGGGAGTTAGTAAAGCTTATTGAGCAAAAGCAGTGTAGAAAGTGGCAAACTCAATCAAATAAAAAACGTGAACGTGCAGTTATGATAACGGAAATGTAAAAAGGTGTAAACGATAATTATGAAAACCGGAACACCAAAAGAAATAGATGAAAATTAAAAAATTAAATTAATAATGCTTAACTTTGACGGTTGGAATCCACCGGGGTTGTAATTGTAACTGTCCTTCCACGAATGAGAGATGGAACTGCACAAGAATGGAACTGTCGGTCATATTGCGGCCGTAGGAAAGATTCGCCATTCCCGGTACCCCAGCTCGCAACTCTTTTGAGACCCTGCAAAAAAGATAGGCAGAATCTCCCGGAAAAAGGATTTGATAGGTGAAGGAAAGTCAGAAGCGACGAGGCATGATGGCGTTGGGCAGCAAACTGCTGGAGCGCACGGTGGAGATAATGAGTGTAATCCCCAATAATGAACACAATCGAAATCCCCAATTCCGTCTGTGTTTTTTCGAATCGTTTCCCAGCCATGGAACCCAATCGCACGATCTCGAGCTTCGGCTACGATCATCAAGCGGTGCGAATGTCGCACTCGCGAGCGACGAATCGTCTCCCGGATCTGCATCCTCCTCGAGCGAACCCGAACTTGGATCGGAGACAAAGAGGCAGAAGGTCGAGGAAGCCGCCGCCGCCGACAAAAGCAGCGACGAGGTCCCCGACGACGATCATGCAGGTGACAACGACGAGGAAGAAGAAGAAGCCTCCCATTCTGTGACTAAGCGTTGTCATAATGCTTGATGGTTCCAATGCAAAGAGTAACCGCTAAGTTCTGGTGCCATTGTTCAGAACGAATGAAAGCGACTCGCCGACGGGCTCGTCCCCTGGCAAGGCGCAACGGGATGGTTGTTACCGTTGTTCCTTCAATGTAATATATGGCGGTGGAGGTTGAAGCAGATGGGGGGAATAAGAGGGTATTTTTTTAATTTATGATGTGTGAATATTAAATAATTAAAATATTTGACGTGTCACTATTTGCTGAGTTGGCGTTGACGTGTCTGCTGAGTTGGCGCTTAGTCAGCGAACTGTCAAATAAGTTTACGGAGTTAATAACATCATTAAAGTATCTAACAGAAATTACTATATTTGTCCTACAACATCTTTAAAACCTGGCTATAATTGGTATTTTTCCAAATTTGGCTATTATTGACACAAACGTAAAGATTTTGGCTATACAAATGTATTTTCCAAATTTGGCTATTATTGACACAAACGTAAAGATTCTGGTGCCATTGTTCAGAACGAATGAAAGCAACTCGCCGACGGGCTCGTCCCCCGGCAATGCGCAACGGGATGGTGGTTACCGTTGTTCCTTCAATGTAATATATGGCGGTGGAGGTTGAAGCAGATGGGGGAATAAGAGGGTTTGTTTTAATTTATGATGTCTGAATATTAAATAATTAAAATATTTGACGTGTCACTATTTGCTAAGTTGGCGTTGACGTGTCTGCTGAGTTGGCGCTTAGTCAGTGAACTGTCAAATAAGTTTACGGAGTTAATAACACCATTAAAGTATCTAACGGAAATGACTATATTTGTCCTACAACATCTTTAAAACCTGACTATAAATGATATTTTTCCAAATTTGACTATTATTGACACAAACCTAAAGATTTTAGCTATACAAATGTATTTTCCTTTAAGAAAGTAAAGATACCAAACTATATATATAATGGAAAACACTTATAGCAAGAGTACTACAGACCATTTACTGAATTGCCGGTGGTTCCATTAATCACTGACAACACTCATTACTTGGATTAGGACAAGTCTCGTCGCAACAACACATACAGGCCCACAACAGTGCAACACAATACGATCACAAGTTCGCAACAATTGCCTTTCCTGCATCTATTCCCTGTTGGTCACATATGTATTTCCGTGCAGTTCGGTAAAATATTTGACCCAAAATATAAGATAAATATATAAAATATTGTCAATTACAGTATACGATATATATATATATGGTGGCGTCTTCGGTGCCCTCACTTTTTTGGGTGCATTCAGTGCACTCACTTCATAACCGTCATTTTAAACATCTAATTTATATCAAAATTATTTCAATCATCACTTATGATGTGATGAACAATAACGCACATGAATTTTCACAAAAACCATTAAAGATTTACTTTAATTTGAAGGATTTATAGTTTAGAGATTTAGGGTTAGGGTTAGGCTTTACAATTTGGGGTTTAGGGATAGAAATCAAAATTGAAGGTGTAGGGCTTAGGGTAATTGGTTAATTATTTGTTGTCATATGTTATATCATCATATTACACTAATTATACAAATTAAAATTCAAAATCCGACACCTTAAGTCTAGTTTTTGAGTTGGGTGCATTGAACGCACTCATTTTTGTGAGTGCATCGAAGTAGTCACCATATATATATATATATATATATATATATATATATATATATATATATATATGTGGTAATTTCTTGCTTAAGTTTTTAGAAAAGTATATAAAAAAATAGTTGATTGTTTGACTAAAAAACTATTAAAAGTACCTTTTAATATAAGAGGTGATGTGAAATTTCTAAAAATGATTTCTACTAAAAACTATTTTAAAAAATTCAAGTAATCAAAATGGCTCTTTTAATATTCCTTTTAAATAAAATTACATTATTTTATAATTTATTTTATTTTTTAAATGATAAAAATGAAATAAAATTATATTTTCCGAAATAAAATTAAAAGATCATAAGGATAATCTTATATATTCAATCTAGTTTTTTGCAGAAGCTCCAAATCATTATTTTAAAAGGCAAACTTTTAGAGGTGTTTGATCCGGCTTCAGCTATTGGAACTTGATAGCTCTTCTAAAAACCGGGCCAAACATAGGCAATATAAGCCTCTAATTTAGATTAAAAAAATTCGGGTATATTATAAATAAATGATATCACTTGATAATAATAAAAAACTGATATCACATTCAAACTAAAAAAAAGGAACTTAAAACTTTGATGCCGACCATAGAAGGGCAAGTTGTTGCTAAAAGAAGCATTGTCAAAAACAAAATAAAAATCGATTAAAAAAACAACATAAAATGGTAATTAAAATCTTATTTGTCATCGTTGCATTACTTTTAGTGGCTCTTCTGATTTGTTAGCCAAGAAGGAAGGAAAACTTGCACCAATCACCCCAGTCAAGTGGCTTTCTCGTGGTGTTAGCGTTCATTGGTTGATTCTCCTCGTAATGGAAAACTACATCTAAATGGAATGAAATAGTTATAAATTAACATGTTCTA